GATTGCTCTCATTTCCCAGTTACCCCAACATTAACTAAGATACCTCCTCATCCATCAGATTTAAGTCCCATTATCAATTCAGCGGAAAAAGCTTTCTTTACCCCTAAGTCTGGATCACACACCCTGATTATTTCCTTTCTTTTCCTTGGAGCATTGATTTCCATTTTAAATTATAAAGTCATTAACATGGTCTTTTGATTGTGTCCACCATCAACACTAAGACTATAAACTTCATGAGATCAGGAACTTTCTATCTTGCTCAACACTGAAACTCTAGTATCTAACACAGCAGCTGCCTCACGTAGGCACTCAATAAATATTTGCTAAAGTTTGGACTTGGGACTTCCCTGGGGGTCCAATGGTAAAGAATCTGCCTTACAATGGAGAGGACGCAGGTTCAATCCCTGGTCAGGGAACTAAGATCCCACATGCCACAGAGCAACTAAGCCCGAATGCCATAACTACTGAGCTCGTGCGCCTCAACTAGAGCCCATGTGCTGCAAACTAGAGAGCCCACGCACTCTGGAACCTTCACGCCACAACTACAGAGCCCACACGCCCTGGAGCCTGCGCACCACAATGAACAGCCCGTGCACCACAACAAAAGATCCCGTGTGCCTCAACGAAGATCCCACATGCCGCAACTAAGACCTGATGCAGCCAAAAATATATAAAATAAAATAAATAAGTAAATAATAGATCTTAAAGAAAAAAAAGATTGGACTCAACAATCCCACAAAATGAGGTATGTATAATGTTACACATGTCCACACTCTATGTAATATCAGTGAACTGGAAACAGCGTAACTACCTATCGACAGGGGACTTGATTAAATATATACAGTGAGGGGCTTCCCTGGTGGCGCAGTGGTTGAGAGTCCACTTGCCGATGCAGGGGATGCGGGTTTGCACCCCGGTCCGGGAAGATCCCACATGCCGCGGAGCGGCTGGGCCCGTGAGCCATGGCCGTTGAGCCTGCGCATCTGGAGCCTGTGCTCCCCAACGGGAGAGGCCACAACAGTGAGAGGCCCGTGTACTGCAATATATATATATATATATATATATATATATATACACACAGTGAGGCATTCATACAATGGAATACTATGCAGCAATTTAAAGCAACTTACATGCATTGATATGGAAAGATTTTTAAGATCTACTTATGAATAAAGCAGGGCACAGCAAAGTGTGCATAGTGCAGTGCCACTGGTGTCAAAGACGACAATAAATCATGTTTGAATTGTTTGTTGGATGAGAATACTCATTGAACGTTTACAAGAAACTGTTAACAGTGGTTACTTGTTTGGAGGGTAGGTGGGAACTGGGTGGATGGGTGTCAGAAAAAAACTCTACTGACTACCATTTTGTACTTTTAGATTTGGGAATCCACATGAACATGGTTTATAATTCAGTAAACGATTTTTTTTAAGTGCTCCCTGGCTGGAACCCAATAAGTTCTATTGAATTACAGCACACATGACAGCTTCCCCATCACTGTTCCCATCTCCAACACATATCCCTGTCACCACTGCTGCCACCACTCTGCCACTGCCCTGGGAAGAAGCAGGAAGCTTTTTTAAAGCTACATATCCTTTAAATTTTAAAGCCCTACTTTCTAATTACCAATTTACAGTCATCACTCTTTATACTTGACAAAGTGCTTTCAAACATGGGCTCTAATTATAACAACCTGAGACAGTTTATATGTTTTTAGCCCCATTTTATAGATGAGAAAACGGAGGTTGTGAGAAATTAAGGGTCCTGCCTGAGGTCACGCCTCTGGAAATGGCTGAGCCAATCTCAATCTCCTGATGAAAAGTCAACGTTCCTTCTGATGCAGCTTGGAGGATGACAACTCCCCCACCATCCTTCCTGACTCCAAAATGGGAAAAAAGAAAGATGGCAGCAGGTCTTTCACAGATTTTACTTCATTCCCATGACATTCTAGAACAGTGTGGATAAGTCTGGGTGTTGGTCCTAGGGGACAGGACTTGCTGATAGGGGAAAACAGACAACTTCTGTTTTGATTGTTACACTCACCCAGCAGGGAAGAAAAGAAGGAAAATCTTCTTGGCTGGTGTGGAGAGAACCCTGCCAGAAAATGGGATGGATGCTCTAACTTGCCAAAGACATCCCCCGCGGTCCCATTAACACCATGATATTGCACCAGAGAGACACTAAACACTTAGGAACGCTGCTGATTTCCTGGCAACTTTTGAAAGCAAGATTGTGTTTCTACTGTCTGAGGCATGGGTGGAACGTTTGAGGATGGAACTAGAGAATGGGAGGATTTGGCTGCTAAGGATGAGTTGCGGGTCACCCTGGGTGCGCATCAAAAAAAGTTTCCCT